GGATTGAGATAGGTCCAGAAGGGCGTTTCCCAATAAAGGTAGTTTGCACTGGACCTAGTCTGCTGAGTTCAATACTCCCCGAAGGGTCTGCTTTGAGACAGGTCCAGAAGGACGTTTCCCATTAAAGGTAGTTTGCACTGGGAGGAGACTTAGCTAGAGGGGCTTTTCCCATTTGAGGTGCTTTGCACTAATCTTAGTCTGCCGGTAATGGATTTCGGCGCGGTATTTATACCAAATAAATGCTGACTCATCGACACACTTCAGTAAAATTGATTTACAGAGTGGTATTTACTTAAGTAGTTGACAATAGTTATTATGTCTAGAAAACTCTACGATTCAATGGAGTCCTATATGATCCAAGTCATAGAGATAGCGCAGAAGCTGCTGAAGACCGGTTTTAAGATAGATAATAACTAGATTGGCTCTGTTCTGTTGACAGCGTTAACAGGACTGCCTGACAGATTCTCGCCCATGATAATGGCAATTGAACACAGGGGAATGGCGATTTCTACAGATGCAATAAAAGTTGCTGGATATGCACGCAGAGGATAAGACACTTCGTAAAACAGGTGGTGCTTTTGCGGCATAAACTGGAAAGTCCAAGTTCCGTGTTCAACCAAGAGTCCTTAGAGATTACAGCACAGGGTGCATACAGCAAAGAAAATAAAGCTGGAAACTCTGGGAAGAAAATATTAACAGACACTTTATGAACAAATGTCCTAACAAACAGTCATTCGATAACAAAATGTCAAACGCGTGTGCAGTGTTTATGATTGAATGGCTAATTTAATGACTCTGATTGCTATGTAGACTCTGGTGCTAGTATACTTCTTGAGGCTAGGCAAGGTTGGTTGGAAAATATTTGTTATGATGCTGATCCTAAGGAAATTATGGTAGCAAACAGAACCAAGATTCCTGTTATGTGTTCTGGAGGCCTAAACATATCATCCAACATCAGTGATGGCAAGCTGGCCAGAAGCAGAATATTATCATCAAAAATGCACTAATGCACTGTTTGTTCCTGAGGTTACAACAAACTTTTTATCAGTGAAGCAACCTATAAGAAATAGTAAAGTTTTTTTTTAAATAATTCCTCAAGTCAAAAATTTAGTAACTATGTTGGCAACACAAGCCTTTTGTATTGCCAAAATAATGTCATGTTGACTTTTATCTTTAAAAAAAAACAGATTTTAACAATGTAATCTTAGATCGTGATGTAAGATTCTGGGTGTATCAGGTGAGATCATCGTAGATTTGTACACTTAAATTACAATGATCTCAAATTAATGCAAAGTGGAGCAGTTTTAGGATTAAATGGTAGTAAGAAGCTCAAGAAATCTGACGTATGATGCAAAGTATGCTATGAAGGCAAACAGTATGGACTAATATACGTTTTAAAAGTACTTACCTAGTGCAAACAGAGCAATATCACTTTAAGAAGTAGTAAATGTAGATCTTTGTGTACCTTCTGAGGTGAACTCTATTGGTGGGTCAAGGTAGTTCATGCTGTTTGAAGATGATTTCAGAAGGATGGCTTTTGTTTATTTTTTAGAAACAATACATACCTACTATAGAATACTTCAAAGAATTTAGGCAGTATGTTGTAAATTATACCAACAGGAAAATAGAAACTCTTAGATCAGATGAAGGTGGTGGGTTCTGCAGTCGAGTTTTTGAGACTTTTCCAAAAAGATTTGGCATTCTACATGACGACAAACCCACACACACCGGAGCAGAATAGGATGCTTCAGAGACTTAACTGAACTGTTGTTGATGTTTGCTATTCGATTTCAAGTTAAAAAAAAAATCTGGGCAGAAGTGACTTATATTGCTGCTTACTTGCGCAATAGAAGTGTGGTTAAGAGGTCGAATAACAAAACATTTTTCTAAATATGGACACGCAAAAAACCAGATGTCAGTCAGACATTCGCATTTTTAGAAGCGAAGTTATGGTGCATCTTCCCAAGGTGTTACCACTGCCACCTGGTTGAGACGGTTGGGTAAGGGAGACTTTGTTTTAGCACTGGTAAAGGCTTTTTTCTACGAGCATTTTTAACGGACGCTGTCAGTGTCTAAAATGCCATTTTATGACACTGGTGCTAAAAGTAATCACTTTTAGTGCGTCTGTAGAAAAAATAATGTATGATATTCGTGCTAAAAGTGATTTTATTTTGTTCAAAGGGATGGAACACTTCGCCTTCGGCGTCTTGTCTCAAACTTCCCTTTTCACAAAATAAAATGTCACTTTTAGCACTTATATCATAAATAACTATTTTTGTACTGCGATAGCGTGCGACCAGGGACTTTGTTTAAAGTCCCACTGAAAATCTAGGTAACTTTGAACGGATACTTTTAAGTAATCTGATTAGATTGCCTCTTCCAGTGCGGGTTCTTGCTACCTGAGCTGTACGCAGTTAGTTGGAATGCTAGCTCGGGGTTTTCCAAAGGAAATATAAGAATCAGTTTTTCTAACAAAACTCTAACAATGGTTTATTGAACAAATGGTAAGGAAATGAAAGAAAAGCAAAGAATATACAGTAGATTATTAAAAATGTTTACTGAAATGGAATGAAAGAAAATACATATGGAGATTTGGAATGATAGGGAGTGAAATCATTGAATGAGCGTCCTGTATAGGGCGTTCCTTGATGGTACAAGTTACATGAGAAATTAAAAATTAAAAGATACAGAAAATAAAGACTAGGTTATAATTCTTAGTGGGTAAAAGTCGCGGGCGTCCTTGACAAGGGAATGACAAAACGGCCTTGTTATTCAGGGTAAGATACATGTTGGAAAAGAGATTTGAGTTGTGAAGCTAACCCAATGGTTTTGTTCTTTATACAGGGAAGAAAATAAATAATAGACAGAAAACAACAATCATGATGAATAAATTGAAATACTTGAAATTGAAACATTACCTAAGGTCTCGGAAAGAGAGTCGGCAGAAAGACGTCAACACTAAACACCAGAACTTCGTTACAGAACTGGATTGAATCTAGGAGATTCACAGGCTTATTTATAATGGCAGCTTGATGACGCTTTTGGGATTTTTATCGGTCGCAAAACATGCGGTTTGTTCATGGAACCAGGAGTCGAGAGTCGTATTTTAAGACACAATCAGGACACTGTTTCGAGATCCCACTGATAACCCTTGGCTCTTGACACGGTTTCGTCAGAAATTTAGCGACCTAATCTCGCTGGGAAAAAACCGAAGCGAAAAAAAAAAAAAAATTCTAGGTCCGTTTTGTTACACCAGCCTTTCTGAATCGTTTGTTAGAAGGGAAAGTTTTGATGAAACATCCTGAAGGTTTCATCTCTGCTGGCCAAGATCCTAAACTGTGTAAATTCAAAAGAGCTGTCAATGTCTATGGTTTAAAACTATAAAGTCCGTTCATAGAGTCTATAGGCTTTTTCGAGTGCGTAATCTGACTAACCTCCAAAGGCCCTAGTATGAGGCCCCAAAATCTAGCCAATCAGCGTCCAAAATCTCAGATCAACTCGATTAAGTCCACATACTTTATGGACAGACTATAGGGTATGGAAACAAAGAGTGGATGAAGTTTTAACTAGGCTAGGATTCAAGAGGTCTGATTTTGAACCATGTCTTTATATTCAAAAGAAAAATAACTCATTAATCATAGTTGCATCATCTGTAGACGATTTTTGGGTTTTTTCCTAAGAAATTTTAGAACCCACTATTGAAACTCCTCCGAAAATTGTCGAACAAAAGTCTACTGAGAGTAGTATCAGTATTATATAAAAAAAATAGACTAGAAAGAAGAAGGACCTGTCATACTGCTGAAGGTAGTCCAATAATGTGTACCAACTAACAATATGAACCGTTTCTTTATAAGACAAAGCTTGAAAATTGATGGAGTATGGATTTTAGATAATCAAGAAAAAATTACACGGATTTCAAAAGGCGGGTAGGTACAAATGTAGTCAACTCATGTTTTATGTAAATCAGTAAAATATGATTTCAAGATTCCAATAATATCATTCTATCATTTATATACCACCCCCAACTACAAACTATCTACTTATTAGATTAAAACCAATTTCCGCAAACAATTAGAAAACTAACACCCGTTTTAATTGGCGAAACGAACGACGTCCCGACGAGTTGCCGAAGGTCCGCAGCTCCCGATAATACTGTTTTAATGGACTCCCGAGGGACTTGTTAGGATAAAGAGACGGAGAAAACCCGGGACGACGTTTGAGCATTCGATTTCGCGAAAACTTTTAAGCCGGATTTCTTTCGACTTAAGAGTCCCTGGATGCAACGTATGCAATAATTATGAAATCGGATATAATATGATTACTTATTATTAGTTAATCAATACTCAATAAGAAGTTCCTTACAAGTTCTTTGTTTATTGGCAAGAGTTTTTGTTACTCTCAAGGCATGGAGTTAATTCCGTTGGAAGAAAAAATAGTAATAATGAATAAATAATAGTAGATAAGCAATGCCGCTCCGGCAACATTTTCCCCAAACAAGTCCGCCACTGAATTTCAAAGATTGTCGATTCAATTCACCCCCCTTTCTTAAGATCTTAGGAAACTTCGCCCCCTGAGAAGGCCGAGCTCCCAATCAACGACAAATTAGGAAAGTCTTCTGAACTCGCAAATTTCTTGGCGTGACTCGGGGCCATCTTAAACATCAATTAGGGCGCATCTTTGGAACTGAAATTGCCGTTGCTAAGATGGCGGACGAGCTTGTTTGCTTAATTCGATTAATTAGTTAATGGATCTTTAAGATAGGACAGACAATTTTCAATCATACCTATCGTGGACATTTCATTTTTTTTTTCATCCTTAATACAAGTTTCACCGTAGATCAAAACTCCATTCAAGGTGAGGTGGATCTTAAGCCACCTGGATGAATTGATTTTAAGTTCACCTTAACGTTAAGGGTACCTTAGGTAAGTCTTGATTTTAAGAAGGCAACATTCTAAGAATAAAAATCTTAATGCGGTAGAGTAGATAAAATTATTACTCACCATTATTGCTTGTTCTGGATTTGTCTCCATTGTCGTTTTTCTTCGCGCCTCCATTCGTTTTTTCCTCTTGCATTTTCCTCATCTGTTTTTTGTGTTTCATTCGTCTATTTTGGAACCACGTCTTCACTTGGGTTTCGCTTAAACTTAGTGCTGTAGCCAGTTCCACTCGTTCCGGCGTCGATAGGTAACGTTGAGCGGAAAAACGTTTTTCCAAACCTGGATATTTTCGATTATTATTAGTTGATTTGTTGTGGAAAAGCTTTAGTTATTTACCTGTCAGTTGTGGATCACTGAATACTGTTCTGGCTTTTCTTCTTCTACAGTGTTTTAGGGCGTTTAAGGAAATTTCACTTGCGGAGCTTCCGAAAAGGGTGTGATGGAATGGTATACCTTAAATAACATGACTTATTATAGTTTTGATTTTGAAGTTAAGTTTTAAGAGGAAGGTAATTCGAAGTATGCAAGTCTGAGCAGGAAGTTTTGAAAAATATGGAAAAGTTGGTATGGGGAAGTCTTGAGGAAATAAGGGACATGTTCAGTTTCGTCTACGCGCCCTGTATATTGTTGTAGGTTAAACTGGGTATTTAGGATGTCAAGTCAAATCCTATTTGGGAATGGAAATTGTTCCGTTTTTTTTTTTTCTCTTTATTTTTGTTCTCTTTTAATCTAATGGAATTGCGCCTGCTATATGCCATATGCCTAAGAATTGATACGGCTTTGCTAAATTTGGCTTTTAAAAATGCGCGCGTTAAACATTGAAAAAGGATATCTGCAAAGTCTTTACACTGCTGACGAGTAAAGTCAGTTGCCAAAAACACTCCGTCCGTTTCGTGTGGTTCGAAAAAATAGACCTGCGGTTTTTTCGTTTGCCGCGACCGGTTAAATCAAGATGGTTTCGTTTGCACTCCTTCTCATTGGACTTGAACTTGCTGAAAGAGCTGGCCAACTGAGTGGAGTTTAGAAGTAAAGCCAGCTAAGGTGAAAAGATATCCTTTTCAGTTTCGATATCTTTCATCGATTACCATTTTATCATCAACCTGTGTATTTTCCAGTTTTAATTTCGCACAGGACATAAATATTTATTAAATATTTGAAGTTTCTATGCGAACCGGAAGAAACCCTCCTGGAAGCTTTTATAATACCCAAGAAAGTACAGAAGAACTGAGGGAAGTTTGTGGAAATCCGAGCAAATAATTCAATATTCAAATTATGCAAGTCTGAGTAGGAAATTTGGAGAAATCCGAAAAAGTATGGTTGAGGAATGAATAAGGAAATCTGTTTAAATCGGAGAAAGTTCAAATGAAGTCTGGAGTAGATACGCGAAATAATTATGAAATATTAGAAGAAATTTCTAGGCGAAGTTTGCAAAGTACTCAGTTCCAGACCAAGTGGTTTTTTCGAGATAGAGATCGTTATCCCATCGCTATGGCACTTGCTGTCTTCTTCTTTCTTCTCGAAATCAATAGAGAGGGGACGTCAATAAAGATACAGAAAATATCTCTATTTATTACAGAGTCCCAGCCCCGGCAACTTTCGTAAAACCCAAGAATGTGGAGAAGAATTGAGCGGAGTTTGTAGAAATTCGGGCAAATAATTCAATATTCAAATTATGCAAGTCTGAATAGGAAGTTTGGAGAAATCCGAATGAAGGTCAAATGAAGTCTGAAGTAGGTAGGTACGGGAAATTCGTTTGAGAATAAGAGGAAGTTGAAACTATAAGTCTGAGGAAATATATAGTATAGAGGTCATAAAGGAAGGTTTCCCACAAAATTTAAGAAAAAACTATCTGTAAATTCTTTACCTTCATACCCCAAGAAACGTATAGCGGAAAGTTTGGAGGAAGTTTCTGAAAGTTAAGAGAAGTACACGAAAATTCTAACTTTGCAAGTTTGAAGAAGTCCGATGAATTAATGAATTACTGCAAATGCTTTTGAAATACTTAAAAAAAGGAAGTTTCAATGTGAAGGTGGAAAGTTTTGGTTCACATTCAAGAAAAACAAAGGGATGTTCCGATAAATTTTGTGAAAATTCAGGTAAATTATACAAGTTTGGGAAAGTTCGGAGAAGCCAGAGATAGTATTAAGGAAACTCGAAAAGATTGAAGGAGTATTTATCAAATTATAGTGGAGAGTTTTCACAGAAAATTTGAGAGGAAACTATCTGTGAAGATTTCATCTCTATACCCCAAGGAACGTATAGAGGAAGTGAAGGAAAGTTTGAAGGAAATTTCCGAAAGTTAGGAGAAGTAAAAAGAAAGTTCTAATTTTACAAGTCTGGAGAAGTCCCAAGAAATATACTGAAAATGTTTCACAAATACTGAGGTAATATTGAGAAAATCCGGAGAAAATTCAAATTATGCAAGTCTGAAGAAGTCCGATGAAGTACCTAGGTAGGTATACTGCGCAAATGCTTTTCAAATAGGTGCTTAAAAGAGGAAGTTTCACAGTAGCGTAACTTGACATCAGGGGGCATCGGTGCAAGATTAGATCAGCCCCCCCGCCATTGTCCCCGTCGAAGTTTTCTTTTGGTGCCACGCCCAAAAACGGTAATTTTAAGCCTTCAAAAATAGTAAATTGTGTATTTAGGTGGAAAAGTGGCACATTCTCGGCCGACGGTGTACGTTGTCGGGCGAGGCGCAGCCGAGGCCAGCAAACATCGAAGGCCGAGAATGTGCTTTTCCTCTGAAATACACATAGGTAGGTAGTATTTTTTTCTGCGATCGTTCAGTAATGGAAACAATGAGGAATGTTTCTGTATTGTTCCTAGAAATCAGTATACTTTCCCAGCCTAGCCAGAAAAGTGATACCCGTACTGTTATCCATTGATTCCTTAGCAATCACTTTACCGGCCTAGGCCTGAAAAATGATTCCCGTATTAAGGGTGATATATCTATTCTGATATATATCACTATATTTATTTTAAAAATATCACGATATATATTATTCCCACCAAAAGAATTAAATTCATATTAGGTATGTATGCACATACAGTTCAAGTTTTACAGTTTTGAGTTTAAGTTAGTTATGGCGAGGGGTTATTCTTTGGGTTATTCACTAAGGGAAAAATGTGAAAAGATTTCGGATTTAGAGCGATTTTGAGGGATTTTGAGTGATTTCAATGGACTTTGGGTGATTTCAAAGGATTTTGGGTGATTTCGCAAATATTTTAATTTGATTTTAGACTGTTACTTATCTTATAAGTAAATATATTCGAAGGTGTATTAGTATAAACTGAAAAACGGTCGCGTAGACCGATTCATGGATTTTGGGCCTATTGCGAGGGATTTTTCGATCTGTGAAAAGATTTCTGAGAGATTTTGGAGGGATTTCGACGGATTTCGGATGAATTTGTGAACGATTTCGGACCGGGTTACGAAAAGTAGTTATAAAGCGGTAACGAAATGGTTAGGAATGTTGGGATCCCGGTTAGGATATGGTCAGCGATATTTAACATTAACCAGTAAGTAACCAGACGCCAAAACGCTTTTGGTAACCAGGGCCCTTATTCTTGGAACAAGGAAGCAGAGTTCTCATGGAAATGAGTGTCCCGTCTTAGTTACGCAATTCATACTATTATTTGAATATTATTGAGAAGACAAGGCCATCGTTCTCATGAGAACGCTAGTCCCTGTTTTCAAAAATAAGTGCCCAGAAAGGGCTTCTACTAGAATTCTACTTTCGTGACGTCACCCGCGAGTTATTTATCGTGTACATTACAAGCAATGATGTCGGTTGCTAGGCAACCTGACGTCATGAAAGTAGAATTCTAGTAGAAGCACAAGAAAACATGTTTCCTGAAAATATCATAAATATCACATATTGGATATGTATCCGATATATATCAGATATTTTGATATTTATATAAATATCATGATATTTTTGCATCCTGGGCACTTACTGCCCTATGATAGTTACGCCAGTGAAGTTTCAATGTGAAATTGGGAAGTTTTTACTCACACCAAAAAACAACCAAGAGATTTTGATTAATTTTGTGGAAATTCAGGTAAATTAGACAAAATTTAAGGTAGTATTGGGAAAGTTCGGAGAAAATTTATAGAAGTCTGAGAAAGTTCGGAGGAGCCTAAAGATACCTGAGAAAGTATTAAGGAAATTCGGAAAGATTGAAGAAGTATTTATCAAATTATAGAGGAAGTTTTCACACAAAATTTGAGAGGAGACTATCTGCGAATTTTGCACCTAGGTATACCCAAGGAACGTATAAAGGAAGCGAAGGAAAGTTTGAGGAAGTTTCAGAAAGTTATAAAAAAGTACAAGAAAATTCTAATTTTGCAAATCTGAGGAAATTTCCTGACAATGTTTTCATATAGGTCCTTAAAAGACGGAATGTTAAAGTGGGAAGTTTTTGCTCACACCCAAGAACAACAAAGGAAAATTTCGATGAATTTTGTGGAATTTTAGGTAGATTTAGGCAAAATTTAAGGTAGTATTTTGAATGTTCGGAGAAGTCCATAGATACATGAGAAAGTATTAAGGAAATTCGAAAAGACTGAAGGAGTATTTATCAAACTATAGAGGAAGTTTTCATACAAAATTTGAGAGAAAAGTATCTGTGAAGTCTTCACCTCTATACCCCAAGGAACGTATAGAGGGAAGTTTGAAGGAAGTTTCTGAAAGTTAAAAGTACAAAGAAAGTTCTAATTTTGCATGTCTAAAGAAGTCTGAGTACGTATACTGCAAATGTTTTTTGAATACTTAACAGATAAAGTTTCAATGTAAAATTGGGAAGTTTTTGCTCACATCCAAGAACAACAATTAAGGTAAAGTCTTATAGGAATCAGTGGGAAAGTCCCAGAAAAAATTTAACTCGCGTAGGTCTAAGGAAGATCAGGAAAGTTCGGAGAAATCCAAAGATTTAATGAAAAAATTTTCAGGAAATTTGAAAAGATTGAAGGAATATTTTTTACATAATAGAGGAAGTTTTTACGGAAATTCCAAATTTTCAGAAAAAATCTATTTCTCAAAACCAGACAACCTATTAATTTTACAAACCTTGGGAGAAAGCTTATTGAATAATAGAAGAAGTTCTAGATTTTGGGAGAAAACCATCTATGAAGTCTTCACTTTTACTCAAGGAACTGCACGTTAGAAAGTTTCAAAAAAAATTTGTGGAAGTCTTTGGAAGTACAAGAAAGTTCATATTATGCAAATCTGTATATAAAGAAACTAAAAAGGGTATCAAAAAAAAACAAATTACTAAGAAGTTAACAATACTGAAATGCGAAAAATCTATTTACCTTGTGTCAAAAAATAAGGATCTCCCATATTTTTGTACGGAGTCCCTAAATAAGCTCCCAAAGCACCCATAACTTGAATATATCCATTTTCAGGCGCCTGAAAACTTGCAACTCTTCCAGCACTTTGCACCTGGAAATAACCTTGCGGCGCAACAAAATCCTTGTGATGAGCACTATTCGAGTACAAACCAGCATCTTCATGTTTTTCACTTTGCTCCTGATGATGATGATGAACCTTCTGAGGGGCATGAAACGCTCTAACGTGCCCAGAGTTTTCAAGAAGTTTACCCGAAGATTGTGTGGTTTGTGCACCAAAATTCTGATAAATATTTTCCGGATCTTCACTATTTTTTTGCCTATACAAAATGTCTTCAATCAAAAAACTCGTTCTATTATTTTGTGATAAATTTGTCGTTTCATTCATTTTACTACTACGCAAATTGTGCCAAACTAGTTACCAACTCGTTTAAAACAAACGCCAAACGTTAACTGGCCAATATTTGCCCCGAAAGCGAACTATGATAGCGCGAGTTACCGCCCCGTTTGCCAGTTTGCTACCCCTAAATCGGGGAAGGTAGTTTCGAGCTTCGGGGCGTGATTGCGTCCCGATTTTGTCGTTTCGGGGTGGATTATTAGGGTTGATATGTCCGGACGGCACGAGCCGGGAGTAGACGTGCGGGGATCGTTTTGATATAGCGATTTAGGTTTTTAGTCTACAATAAGCTTGGAAATGTGAAATATCTGATGGAAAACTAATGTATTATGTTTTTTCCAGAAATCAAATCATTATTACATTGAAATTCATCTAAAAAAAGTCTTTTGATCTATCTATAGTATAGGTAAATGTGTAGGTATACTGGTGTAAGATCTTTATTATTGAAGCAAAGCTCCAACCATCATCAAATAACCCACCCTTTAAATGTCTTAGATAAACTGATTAGCGCACTAAAATGGGATATCAAAGCGAGCCCAGGCTGCGTCTTTATTGAAAACAACCCCCGCTGGATGCTGAGTGGAGCACAATAGGGGATGTCGCCTTAATAGAGTTATGTCGCTAAACACGATTACCCTTGATCAAGTCCTATTAGCGATTAGATTTGGGAATTTTGCTTCGTTGACGCATAATAATTATTAATATCGATGGTAGCTTGCTGGTAAATAGATATAGTCTTGTGGAATTCTATGAAGTTTCCAGTAGGTACGAAAATATAGGTACCTACTATACATTTTATTCCAGTGGTGTACATAGTTTGTTTCTGATTAATGCGGAGCAATGAAAAACCATTGGTATTCATGGCAAATCTATAGTCTATTTGACATGTATTTGAAGTTAGATGCTATAGGCATAACGATTGAATGGCAACTCAATTAATGAGATTTGCTATAGAGTTTTTAAGTCAAAATAGGTAACAGAATAGTGTAGATGTTTTCATTCTTTGAAATGTTGTCACTCCTCTTCTATATTTCATTTGAGCTTTGAAATTCAAATTTTCTGCGTAATCATAGCACAACTTATCATAGTACATACTTAGGTATAATCTGTTTCTAATTGATGCGGAGCAGTAAAAATCCATTGGTATTATTGGTTTTCTAATGTTCCCAAGCTCAAGCCCCCATTGCCCCCATGTTTCCGGCGCCTATGGACTGATGTATCTAGAATTTCGATAAATTTAGGCCAAATGTCGTCTAACAAGAAAGAGAAGATTGATAAGGGTCAGGAAACGATAAAGAGTAAGTATTGATGAGAGGAGGGAATCATTATATTCTAGGCTCTTGAATTTCTGTTCCCATCCAAAGGATAACGCACACCTAACATGGGATTTTTAGGCCATATGGATTTTGCCCATTTTTTGATATGTCGTAGAGGATTTAATTCTGAACAACCTTTAAATGGGACGAAATCTTGTAGGTATTATGGTCTTTGAGATATGAAAGATGGACTTTTTTACGACTTTTTGTTTGGAGAGTATACGAAAAACTGGTGTTTTCAGGCAAAATTTTGACAGGTCGACATATTTCACGTCACCACAGATTAACCCAGGTTAACCCGTCCTGTGCACGTCACTAACAAATGTCAACATAGGCTAAAGACGGGACCGCACTGGTGCCAACGTTGACCTCAGTGCGGTCCCGGCCTTAACCTATGTTGACATTAATTTTTAAGTGACGTAAAATATGTGAACCTGATGTTATGATCCGCAAAATAAACCCGTAAATTACAATTTATTTACTGTAAAAATTAAATATAATCAGATAATCAAAAACTGAATTTCCGGTACTTCAAATCAGTATCGATAAATTGAAAATTGAACAAATTAACGTGACCCCAAATACATTCGAAATTATATTTCCTCCAGCGTGATGTCATCCTAAAATCCGATCAATGAACTTTTTTTAAGCGAGGCCAATGTAATTAAAATCCATGATTATGTGTTATCCTCACATTCTTGAACCAATGTATTGACCCCGATAAATCAGGATATTGCGACATAATTATTCGATTTTTTAATAAATAACAAAGGAGATTGCATCATCTACTTAATTAAGATGGACAAAGAAATATTGGGGGGATCGATTAATATAAATACAGGCGGTTTTAGAAGTGGAAGGCAGTTGCCAGTTGTTAGCAGTCCAGTCCAGTTTGAGTTAAAGTCTATAGTCTGGCTAGCGAAACGGCGAACTGCAATAGAATTTGCTGCTTTGCCAAACTTGACGGAGATTAGGAACAAAATAATAAACAAGTTGATGACATATTTTTTTTTGCTATATGGGCATGTGTAGTATTTTGAAATAAAAATAAATCAGGCAACATTGCGAAACGATGGATATGGAGAGGCGTGATTATTCAGAATCATGATTCTATTGGTTAGAGCCTGAACGACAGCACGCAGTGGCGTGGTTATTGACGAAACTAGAAAATCTTTTTTCTAATAATTTTATTGGTTTATTTCCTTGGTGTTTTCGGTGCCACTGAACTCAAGACATGGCTGTCATCAGGAAGTTGAGCTGTCAGTGAATATTTTTAGGTTACGCCCCACTTTTCTTCTCCCTTTCGTCTCTACCAAGTTATTACCACTTGCCAGACTATACAGTAGGTACCTAATGAGTCAGTCGGGTTGAAATTCGCGAAAAGTTCTTATTAAGGCCTCGGGGAAAATGCGTTCGATTTAACTTAGAAAAAGTACGGAAAATTGTGAAAGAAATAACATTTGAAATTCGTTCAACTTATGTGCGAGCTCTAGACATTTTTGAGTAATTAATTAAGTAATTTTACGTGTGAAAAGTTAAATGTAAGTACTTTAGTGGTTAATAATTTTTTGACTTTTATCAATGATTCTGAATGATAAGAAGTGAATTAACAATGACTTTTAATGCCTAAAACTTGAGTGATTTTTACTAGTAAAACTTTTGACTTTATAAACGATGAATGACTATGAAGTGAATTATCTTTGGAACTTATTGCATAAATAGTAATACTCGAGTGTTCTGACTATGGATCATGATTGCATAACTTTAAATGCCTTCGAGTATAATGACATTATAATTAATTTTGCAAAGAATTAAAAGGGGAATTTATAATGCACTTAAATAAAATTTGTTCTGATTAAATAAACTATTAAATGGAATAGGAAATTTTGATAAGAAACTTGATGTTAATGAAATAGAATTATTGTCTTAAAATATTGGAAAGTTGTTAAAAGGAAACTTATTGTTCATGAAATGAATTTTGAATTAGGGTTTTTATATTTCATGTAGAAATTATTGTAAGATTTTATAAGAATAAGTTAGTAATACCTATATTAATAAACAAATAGGTAATTATTTTGGGTTTTTCATAAGCAGTCAGTAAAGGACTTAGAAATTTTAAAGAATTTATATAATTAGGTGAAGGGTAGTTTAATAGGAATGAATCGGAAGTGTTGAAATGAATAAACTTATGAGTCATTAGGAATAGTAGGAATAGGGTGTTTCTTTATTTGTATGGATATTTCAGCGGTTCGCAATAATGACCTTTGAACGGATGTGAAGTAATTGAATTTAGAAAAATAGACGAGGCTGTTAGAATTGGAAGATATTTTGCTGATTAAAATTTTTTTGGTTTTATGTATAATAAAATATAATTTAGTAAACCTCAATAGTTTGTTTCTCTTTTTTGCGAATAGACCCTTCCACAATTTTTTTTTTTTTTAGGTAGCAGCTCCAAGGAAATAAACACCATCAATATACCGCTCGCCATATACCATCTAACTAATTACATACACTTTATTTTTTCCCAAGATAGATTTTGACATTGAAAACTTTGAAACATAAACAATAACGCTTGATCCTGATTGATGGCAAAATGAGGTGTTTCTGCAGGTTGACATCAGTTTTACAATAGCGACCAATAAGCGGCATTATCGGCATTGTTTATGTTTCAAAGCTGACAATGCCAAAATCTATCTTGGAAAAAAATAAACTGGGTCTTGGGGCGTTTTGCTACACTGTCAATATTTTGACTGATAATCACCAGCAACCCCAGTACCTATCTCGTATATAATACTCTCCACACAAAGTCACAAAAAAGTTCATCTTTTAACGCTCATATCTCAAAGACCATAATACCTACAAGATTTCGTCCCATTTAAAGGTTGTTCAGAATTAAATCCTCTATAACATATCAAAAAATGGGCAAAATCCATAGAGCCCAAAAATCCCATGTTAGGTGTGCGCGTTATCCTTTCTTTTTACAGAAGAATCAATGGAAACAGTCAAAAGCCTGAAATCAAATTTCTTTCAATAAAAGATTGTGTGTAAACATCTTTTATGGAAAGAAATTTCAGCCTTGAGCCTTGGAAACTAAGGAAATTTAATCCGAAAAAGAAATGCAGAAGAGATACCTACAATTAGAAGAATAGAAATGGGTAGATAAATTAGGTAAATGTGAAAATACTCTTAGATTATGGTAAGTAGCCCTAATATAAACAAAAAATCCCCAACAAGGTAAAGATCTGATTATCGTGAATGACGGTATTATCTATTCACAATCTGATGTCCAAAGGTATCAAGGTAAAATTTATCACCTTTCAGTGCTATTTGATAGGGAAAGGTGATAAATTTACCTTTACCTTTGGACTACGGATTGTGGATAGGATATAGGTGATATTTTTTGTTAAAATGAAATCCAGGAAGTCAAATATTAATATTTGCTTTTTTATTGACATTGTATTTCACATATTATACGAGATTTTTTCTATGGGTGATACTTCATACATTTCTACACAAATTCCACCAAAGCTATAAACATTTAAAATATATGATTCCTATATACAAAACACATCATCCATCATTACGATCCCTCTAAATACTCGCTAACAACCAGTAGTCCGGGATACAAAAACGTATAGATTTTCGTTGCCCGGCAACGTTTCCCGGGGGTGGATC